CTCCCGGGGGGTAACCCCTGGCGCGGGGTACCCCTGGCGCGGGGAACCCCCGCCGCGGTGCGGGGACACCCAGTTTTGTTCGGGGCCCTGCGGAGGGCAGTGCATCACCGGCGCTGTGGAGCCTGTCCGTGTGTTGCTTTAGCTCGGGGACTGACTCTCTTCCCCACGGCTCGTTCGGACTGAGAGCAGGGATGGGAAGGAGCGGTTGGTTCCCTTTGGAACTGAAGGCACTTGGCCCACGCACACAGGCGTGGCAGGCACAGATGTGTATGCTCAGCCATGCGGCTCTGAAGCAGCATGGGAACAGCATCAGGGCCACAGCTCCAGCAGCAGCACAGAATCATTGCAAAAGAGCTCTTAGATCAAGTCCCACTATTAACCTGTCACTCCTCTGTAACCCCCTAAACCGTATCAATCCAGATGCCTCTTAAACACTTCCAGGGATGGTGACTCCACCACCTTCCTGGGCAATCTATTCCAGTGCCTGAACACCCTAACTGGGAAAAACTTTTTTCTGATACCTACTCTAAACCTCCCATATCATCTCATGGCTGTTCCCTCTAACCCTCTCACTCTAGGCATGGCAGAAGAGACCATCCCCTGTCTCTCTACAACCTCCTTTCAAATGGAGGTGTGAAGGGAAAGGCATCCATAAACACGTCAAATATTGATCCTACAGAAGGGGAAGATCTTAGCTACTTCTTGTAGTGGTTTCTGAGGCAAAAAGACAATTTTCTAACTATGATTCTACTGTGAGATAATTTAGACTGACCTGATGGGCAGTGCCTGGTGAGACAGCTGTTTTCCATACATTCTCAGTAAAAGGATCCTTGTTCTTGAAAAACAAGTTTGGAATATGAAGGGGTACACAATGCTAATTAAAAGTAAATATGCCAGATTAATTATTCTATTCAAGCCTTAAACACAGACACCAGTAAGTTAATCATTCAATGCAATATTAATGGTTGAAGGAATTATCTAATGAAACCCCAGATTTAGTATAAGGGGGGAAAAAAGTATTTTAACTTGTGTATCATTTCCATTTTCTTTAAAATCATCACTTGCAGGATGTATAAACATAGAAAGTTAATATTTGGTTTATGGCATTACTAGGGACTTAAATTCACATTCCACTTCATGTTAAGAATCAGTGTATTTGCTGTAAATGAGGTTCACCTACTCCTGATCTTTATATATAAACATTTAGATTTATTTTATAAAAGTCTTGATTGCACAGACAAGTAACACACACAGTAAACTGCAATAAAAGAAAAGTTTTTACATGTGAGTTCCAGTATGTTGCTGTTGACTTGGCAGGAATTACAATGCTGAATTGTCTTTAAGTGCTATTGTTACCAAATTTGATGACTGGCTAAAATGTTTTTACTCCAAATGAAAGAGTCACAATAAAAGCTCAAAATATGGCCAAGAATTAAAATTGAACATGTTAATAAAGAGAAATTACTTATTCTGGTGAAATCAGGTCTAAACTGACTATGTGTCTCATAGTTGGCCTTCCATGGGGGCAGTTCCAGGGATGCTCAATCTCACCCATGTGGGTGATCAGTTTTCTCATTTCCTGCACATTCAGGGCAGTTCCAATCATCACCTGCAAAGAAAAAACTTAATTATTATTTCCTTTCTCCATACTGACAGCTGACACAGATCAGAGCAGTACTCCAGCTACTAAACCAGACCCTCAGAAGACAAAGCACAGCTAGCACAGTGCTCCTAAGTGCACTAGCTTGGAACAAAGAAACAACCAGAAATGCTTCCCAAGTGACACCAGACAAAACAAAGGATATTAGCTGTTGGCACTCAATAGTAAATAAGCTTCTCCTGCAGTACATACACAGCCACAGCCACCTGTAATACAATAGAAATGTGGTGTTTGTATGAAAACAAACAGCAGTGCAGTACTTACAGACTTCCTGCAAGCTCGAGAAGCAAACATCTGTCTGACCCTGGAGGGTCTGCACATCACTCCAGGGCAGTCACTCAGCATGAAGATCAGCTCATCTATGTCCTGTGGACCAAAAGTCCAGTTTTTGCTCGTTGGCAACGATATCAGTTTAACTCTTTGAGTTACAGGAGCTGGAAGGTTTGAAATGATTAATAAAGAAACAGATCGATTACATTTTCTTGAAAGAAAAATCGAGAAACTCCTTTGATACATTAATGTGATGTGATTTGCACATATGCCAACGTTTAGTCTTTTGACAGAGGTAATTAACTAACCACAGTGGTCACTATGGCAAATGTCCTTTTAACATTAACAAAAAAACTATTTGCAACTTAAAAGCAGATAGATCCAATCTCTGACAAACCTCCCATTTCAAAGAACAAATGGTTTATGAAGCTATTTTGAGGTTATGTGACTACAAAATAACTAAGGATTTCTGATGGCCAGAGAGTGATAAATAATAGTATTTTTAGGCCCAAAAAAATCCCTAAATGGAGATTCTGGAATGAAGACCATGGAAAAAAATGTGTAGTGACTTCCTAAACAGCAAAGTGGTGACACACAGCACTTTCATTATCTGCACTGTGTAAGGAAAACAGTAAGGACCTTGCAGGTTACAGAAATGGCTCAAAAGTACATAGCAAGTCAATGCTAAAGCCTTAAGGAAATCCAAAGATCATCAGTTACCAATGGTACCAATTTTAAATTCCTGGATGTATCCCTTGCCTGCACATACCCCTGCAAGTGCAAGAGCAAGACCAGCAAGTACACTATAAAGCAAAAGGGTTTTATTGTAACATGTCCAGAAAATACACATCCAGTCATAGTGTCTAACAGTGACTCCAAAGGGTCTTCAGAAACCTCTGCAAAAAGCTGGTGAGATAAATACTGCACAATGTTCTGTTAAATCCTAAGTCTTAAAAACCAAACCAACCACATACAATAATGTATATTATGTCAAAACTTCTGGTAATTACCCAAAGGATTTTTGCATAATAAATAAGATTAAACCACTGAACTTGTTTATTTCCAGCAATTCTGGGCCAAACTCACCATTTTCATTTATAACAAAATCAAACCCATTTTTTCTGAATATTTCCAGATTTTCAATCAATACACTTTCATTTACTGCTGTTAAATTGAGATTTTGAGGCCTGGAAGAGAGAGACAAAGATGGTGTTACACAGGTACACAGTCCAGACCAACCTAGAGATGCTAATACAGAGCTCTCTATGAAAACACCTCACTCTGCTTCGTTAAAAAACCCTCACAGTTACTTCTGAGTGTTACTCAGCAGAATTAAGTCAGTTGGGTAGCACTGAACTAAACTTACCACTGAAAATACTTACACTATCAGCTTCTGCCCCTGGAGAACAGTGTGTTGTTGCAACATCTCAAAGTTGTATTTCTCATCAGTAGCATGTTGGTCAATTATGAAAAGATCAGAATTCAACTTTGCTATTATAAACCCTAAATTGAACTGGCCAATGATTTCCATTTTTGCAAACATTTCTTTACTGTAGACAGAAAACATGGAGAGATTATAAATTACACCTCACCGTTACCATGTTAGACTGCAAAACTTAAAACCATCTTTTTCTGCCCTGCAGAACAGACTTTACATTTAATAAAAATAAATGTCATTTAAGCAGGATATAAATGTGAAAAAGTCCAGTTCTCTGGGACCTGTCACTGACTGATGAGGCTATTTCTGACAGAACACAATCCGTCCTTGATTCAGGACTCATTCAGGGCTCTCCCACTGGTGACCATCAAACTAGGAACAGGCAGGATGGCAATAGTCCAAGTAACACTGAAGACAGCATCAGGGCTTTGAAGGCAGGTGACATATTTGCCTTCTTTTCACAATTAAAGACTTTCATAACACCTTTTTTAATACAAAATTAACAAATCATGGACTTTTACTGTCCAGTGACCACCTGAATGTAACTAATTTTTACAGCCACATCTCACCACATTTCCAATTCACACGAGGGAGAAATGTAAGTTACAAAGTCTTTTCACAGTGTCTTATCTGTCATGAAGTCTGGTGTTTCTCTGACTGCACTGCAACTTACAAGGTTGAACTAAGCCAAATCCATGATGTTTGTGGCCTTTTTAGTGTCGTTTTCCACATTCTGTTTGCACATAGTTCAAACAGCTGCTCTGTCAGTAACACAACTCATCAAATAGACATTTTAAGGACATTAAATAAAACATAGACCCAAATGTAACAGGTTCATCTAAGCCTCCTGCACATCCCCCAGGACAGGTCTTGTATTTTTCCTTAATCATAACAGATGAATACAATATGTTAAGAAAGCGACAATACCTGATCTCTTTTCTTAATTCATCTTCTGCTACTTTATTGTCCCCAGGACTAATTTTTGCTTTAAATCTTCTGTAACTTTCTTTTTCTGTATTTTTCTGCTGTTGCTGTATTACGTTTTTTACCTTTTCTGCCAAAACCTTCATAGAGAATTCCAGAGGCACAGTTTTCTTTTCAACTTCTACCAGTACATCAACACTAATGTTCTTCACTTCAGAGTGTTTACCTGCCTTGGAATCATCTGCTTCACTTTGACAGTTTCTGCTTTTAAGACATTTCACTCTTGGGGAAGAACCTTTGGCTTCCTGAGAGAACTTATTTCCATCAGTCCAGTCATTCACTTGATTTAACTCAGGTTCTGTGCCCGAGATCTGAACATCACAGTCCAATGATTTTTCACTACATCCAGCAGTTTTAAGACATTCATTTTGAAGTTGTTCTTCTGTGCTGCAGAATTCTTCAGGGGAATTAACTGCACTTTCACTACTGATGCAGCTCACAGCTTCTGGTGTACTGCATCCAGCATCTGACTCAGAAATGCTGCAGCATCCAGAATCTGCATTATCTTCTAATTTTCTGCTTGGAATTGACTCCTTTGAGTTCATCTTAGGACAACTCTCAGGCTCCTTAGCCAAGACAGCCCTTTGTGTCTTTACAGTAAGCAAAGTGGTATCAAGCAACATTTGTCTGGGGGAACTGTGCTGCTGTTTTACCTTTTTAGGGCTTTGAAAACTACTGTCTGTCATTTGATGGAGAGAGAATGACTCCCTTAACCTGGCAAGAGTCATTGTTCTTTTGCCTTCACCACTGGGACTTTCAGTCTTGGCGTCAGATAGCATTTCTACCTGAGGCTTTTCTGTCTCTTCAGCAAGTGTCTTCTTCAAGTTGCCTAATAAAATCAAAAGAAAAAATGTTTAAAGATTCTACGTTAGCTGGAAACCTGAATTAAATGATGTGTTTTAGTAAAGGGAATGAAAGTAGAGAGAAAGATAGAAAACTGTTCAAAGGAGCCCTCAAGCTTCAGACAATGAGTATGGCGCTAGAGTGAATTAATAAGGACCAGACTAGCAGTCACATCTTGAAGCCACTTAATGGCACTCCTGAGAATGAATTTGGAATCTCTTCTTAAACAGGAACAGCAATCAGTCCTATCAGCACTTTTATTTATAGCACCAAAACAGTTTAATGACCAGGTGACAATAAAAAGTGAATTTCTCTTACACTTTAATGGTCACTATAAAGTTCCATTGGCAAGGGGTTAAGGAGATGGTACAACAGCTACTTGTAGTATATGGGTTTGCAGGGAATTAGAGGACTTCAACCTTGCAAAGTGTCAGCCTGAGATGTGTTTTAATAAAGATTAATTTAAAATAGCAGTAAGAACTAGGCTACAACGGACTCTGCATGTCAGTAAAAAAAGGAAAATTAGAAGGGGTTCTCTTGAATGAAAGGAGGAGGATGAGGTGGTGGTAACACAGAAGAACAACAGTCACAACAGAATCATCAAGATCTGTAGATATCATCAAAGAATCAAAGTTCAGAATGCAACAAACACATACTCAAATTTCAGATTTTATTTATGAGCCCTTAACCATTCTTCCTCAAGGATATTTAAACAAAGGAAAGACAGATCTCTCCCAGTATCTTGGGAGAAATCTCTTTCAAGCATTATCAGTTAATTTTGTGCACATTTTTTCCCCACAAAGTTGACTGTAAATTATGTCGTGCTGGTATGTGTCATTTCCACATCACTTAACTTCAGATCCTACTTTATTTTTATTTATCTAATTCATTTCTTCTTTGGGCTTTTAAAAACACATTTTTCCACTTTCAATTCTCTACCATATGTCGTACATAAAACTTCCACATTTTGTGTCCTACCTGCAATGTCCAGAAGCTTCTGATTGACACTGAGTTTGTTAACATCACTACCAAACATTGCCATCAGAGAAGTTTTTAAAATTGCCAATAAAACCTTTTCCTCCTGAAGTAAGATTTGCCTTTTGTCTGGAGTTACATTGATGTCAACACACTCTGGAGAGAAAAAAAAACACCACGAGAGTGGTTTGCTTTATAAATAAATTTTCACAGAATTAGCTTCTCTTTTGTTTGTCATTTTGTCTGCAAATTACACTTATCTGTCTCAGTGTTCCACACACAAAAACATGATACAAGTTTTCTTGCATTTAAGCTAACCTTGAGATTGCCTTTTTGTCATTACTTAAGAAGTTACTTTTGAGTATAAAAAAAGTGGAAGAGACAAATAGTGGAACCACAGCTAGGCCCTATCTTTCCCTCACCAGCTCTGGATCGAAACATCCCCAGGGTGCAGGAAGTCCTAGAGATGAAAGTTATAACATTCTCTAAATAAAAATTTCATTGAAGAAGAAATTGTAATAGCCTTTACTGAAACTTATTCACAACTTACCAGAATCTACCCCAATGTTAAGAACAACAAATGGATACTGGTGTTTATTGTAGAAGTGATAAACTTCATTCACAATCTTAACAACCTGCAGAAAAGGTGAAAACACAATGAAATTCAATACCGTTATCTATTTCTCAACAGGATTTGTTAACTAAGTCTCTTCAAAACAATTAATGCACTAAATTGTATTTATGACAATACTGCATATGTACAATATTGTACTATACTGTATTACTGAGCTTTTGTTCAGACAAACAGACACAACGAAGACAAAACCCTGAGGCACAGGAACTTGCAGTATCAAACCACCAACATACACATGAGCTACTAATCCTGAGGTTTTCAGAGAATATTGGATAAGTTAGCACTGGTGATGTTAGGAAAGGAAAAGCTTCACCTTTGCTGGATCACACGGACGCTGGTTGATAAAGAAAAACTGTCTGTCTGTCGTACTCCTTCCCACACCATGATCACAGCGGGAGATGAAGCCTGTGATTCTGCAGGATAATAATGCAACAAGGTAAAATGGAGGAGAAAAGCAAACCAAATTTTTCTGTCTCTGAGCATATTTAAGAAGGATATTTTATAAGGGGCTCAAAGAAACACTACCACACAGCATCAGTATATAGGTACACGTATTTCCTCTCTCAACTCCTTACCTGACAAAAGCTCCAAAAAGGATCAGACAATTGACAAGCAGCTTGCTCTGGTTTCAAAAAAAAACCAAACCCCATAACATTTGTAATTTTTCTGCTCTGAGAGCAGAAAAGAGATCAGTTGTGAACTGTCACTGGCAAATAGATGCATCAATATCTGACCAGTCTCACGCATAGTGAGAGATACAAAAGTACACTTTCAGAAAGTAAAGGGTAATTTGCTTACACAAACTGATTCACATTCATCTCTCACCACTTCTCAGTAATGCTGCTGAGGAAATACAGGTATGAACAGCAGGCACAATTCACCAGCGACACTCAGCAGATTACAGTAACAGATAACTACGTGGGATGTAAGTGATGGTCTTTCCTAAACTGTATACTAGTATCTACTGTACTGTTCTTGCTTGTTTTCAATACTATTAACCCCACACTTTTTTTCTTTCTTTTATGTTTATTTAAATTGTTGTTTATGGTCAAGTGCCACTGGCAACAGTGGTTTGTACTTTTCTAATTACCTATACAGATTTTGTGGCGTGTCAGAAGTGTTGAGTCCATATTCTTCACAAACAGCTTCACTAGGAGGGAGCTGAACAAAAGGAGTAAGGCTCTGCAACTGAAAAAAAAAAAAAGAGAAAAAAGAGGAACTGAAGGGTTAAACCTGTATAGATTTTCCCCTTCTATTTAATTGTTTATTGACCTTAAAATTTGTTTAATAAAATGGTGACTTTCTTCAAGTTGGTTGATCCAGTCAAACACTTAAAATCCCCAAACCTCCTAGAAGATAGGAGCACTGTTCACTGAGAAACAGAGCAATGCCTTAATGAATGGCTGTTCTCATCCTTTGGTATCACAACCTTTGCCTTAAAATATACATAGACAGAACAACAAATTGATTGATGCAGTTTGGACTCTCGAGCTCCTTACATATGACCTAAACAAGTTTTTATGCAAGAAAAAAAATTTTAAAAAAAGGAAAAAAAGAGTAATAGAAGTTTCTTTAGAAAGAACAACAAAACTATTAGAAAGTATCTGTTATTTGAATCACAGGTTCCTTAAGAACAGTTATGTTTAGCACCAACATTTTCCCAGTCTTGCCACGAATATTTTTCTGCCATTAGAGCATCTTTGACTGATTTTACATTTAAGTATTCATTATAATAAAAGCAGCAATATCTAAACATTCTCTTCAAGTAACTGCAGTTTCAGCTAGGCTTGTTGCCATGTGGCAAGACAAATTTACATCTTCCACCTCCTCTCAGCCAGTGTGAAGAGGTTTGAAATCTCTGCAGGGGCAGTATTTCTGATGGCTGTAATGGATGGTTGTAGGAGGGATGTTTTGATGCTTTTTTCCATCTTTGCTTTCACCTAGAGGATCATAATTATCTTTTTATCTATTAGAAAGCATCACAGTCTACAACTTTACAGGGGCTGAGTGCAATCAGCCCCTGTAAAGGTTACCCAGCACACTAATGAAACTTAGTTTCACAGGAAGAGCTTGCAAAACCTAGAAACACCTCAGCTTTCTGTTCCCCATTGAGACATTCACATCACACCATTTTCAGGATTTTTTAAATGCCTTGTCTTGTGACACACAGACCATTTGCTGGCAGAACAGCTCTTAAAACTGGCTCTGGAGAGATATTAAGCAGTAACTCCATGTCCTAAATCATTTCTCTTCCATCAGAACACCTCTGGGCAGATTCAGAAGCTCCAGGGAGTCCGTGAGGGCTGCGGTGTCTGTCCTTTCTCTGCCTGCGGAGTGCATTACAAGCCAACATTGGTGCCACTGCCTCACACCACGAGAGGCTCTCACATCCTCCAGTTATTGCACATTAAACACATCTCGACACGACTACACAATCTCTCTTTTCAGTAATAAAAGCAATACCTGCTTTTGTCCAAATACTGCTGCAATATTTTCCTTTAAACTAGGACTCCCAGCAGTGGATACCACACAGCTTTTTTTCCCTTGGCCAACTTGGTTGGTGCAGTTAATCCTCACTCCTTTTGAAACAATACAATATGCCTGCAACACTTGAACCATCTTTGCATACTCCTAGTAAAGAAAAAAAAGTTCATATTTGTATGAAATGTTTCTTATTTTAAAACAAAAATGCATAAACAAAGCATTCAGTATTCGGAGGTAAGACAAAAAGGGAGAGTGTAAGTTTAATTTTTTTTGAAATATTTATAAACTAAATTAAAAAAGGATGTTTACAAGATTGATATTTAGCCATAGCACAACAGTCTCCGATTTTACAATACACAAAAGTGATGGTGATACAGATTCTTTTCAAAATCTGAACATTTGAGAACACATCTCTAAACCCAATTATTGCAGAGGAGAAGAGGAAAACATACAGGAAGACTTTTCTTATTGGATTAAGGTTCAAGACAGGCATGAGGTAGTCTGACATAATCAATGTATTCCAGAGAACTGAATTCCATTCAGTAGTGAATAAATTCTGGGGTTTGACAACTCCGTTGAATTAAGAATTTCTGACCTTACCTTTTTAATGTTCCTTTGAAATTCTTTGTGCCGCACTGGTAACGTGTAAAACAACTGCTGTAAGCTCACAGTTGTTCCCTGTTGTCGTGGAAGAGGAGTTCTCTGAGTAATATTACCATTGTGATCAAATACCAAACGGGTCCCAACCTTCGCTGACTTATGACAGGTAAAAATGGTAACATCACTAATGGAAGGAGAGAGACAACAGAATTATTCAGAGTGCCTTATGTATTCCTCGTTACCTAATCAGGCATGAAAACTACAGCAATACTATTAAGTTAATTACAACTAACTCTTCACCAAAAACAACTGAAAACCTACTCTTCACAGCAGTGTAACATTTTTCTAGCTACAACACAAACATTTTATTTGTCTCCCTTTCCTTCTAAACCGCAACGTTGAAGTCTGGTTTTGCTGGAGACTTAATTCCTCATACTAACAGTAACAGCAGAACACTCTTTATGCACAGCACTGTGTACAAGTGTATTTACCATGTAGCTTGTGCTATTTAAATGTATAGTTTGTCTGGGAAGAACTGAAACAGAGTTTTAATGAGTCACAGCCTAGCAAACAGCACTGAGGTATTACAGTGCTTCACATCAAAGGATCAAACAAACACTTATGCAAATAGATAGCCCCATCCTGTAAAGATTTGTATACTTAAGTAATGGTCGAATTGTATATAAAATGACCAATTAGGTGCTTATAATCATAGAATAATTTCAGATGCTGCGAATCACAGAATAATTTTGGTTGGAAAGGACTCAGGATGTCATGCAACCTACTGCTCAAAACTGACCTGGCAGTAAGGAACTGGAAGTTTCCAAAGCCTCATTTTATGATAAACTGAAAAGGTGCGTTTTGTTATTTTTGTGCATATAGGAACTTTCTACTAACAATAAATAACATTCATTACCTTAATGCACAGAGTGAACTTAAAGCTTCACCTCGAAACCCAAATGTTCCAACATGTATCAGATCAGAAAACTCTTGTATCTTTGATGTATAATGTTTCAGAGCTGGAAAAAGATATTTCAAATATATATTTCACTTCAAAGTGACACTAGTCTATGCAAGCACGTTTTGCACGTCAAGAAGCAAAAAACCTTCTGTATTATTCATTGTATTTTATATAACTATTAGAGATAAATTACTGCTTCCTTTCCTTTTTTCCTATAAATAAGATCTCTTTTGAATCTTCAGATTTGTAATTCCCTGTTTATACCACAGGTTTAAACAGCATCATGGGTGTAAGCACTACAAAATGCCTCAGAGCAGCACACAGTACCTGCCTCTGCTGCTGCTGTCAGACTCCGCCCTGCAAGAAACAGCTGCAGCTCTGTGCTGTGCATGGACAGTGGGCAGGGATAAGCCTGTTCCACCATGAATAGCTGAGGAGGACTCAACCCACACCAGCAGTGCAGCACTAGTCACCAGGTAACAAACTGAGTTAGCAGCAGCATCCCTGAACTTTCACTGTCCTGGAACAGCAGGAGAATGAGTGTTTGATGTACCATGTACATACTGTGAACACTGAAGTTACTGAGTAATAACTTAGGGTGGGAGAGATCCCTAGTTGTTACATGCAAAAAATATCACGATTTTAGTTGCAAAGGCCAGTTAGATTTATCAAACAGTGTTGCTTCCGCTCCCATTCTGTGCAATTTAAAACTAGCAAGTGGAGAATTTTACAGTCAGCCATGCAATTTCTGCAAGTATTCAAGTTTATAATTCCCCTCTCAAAAGCAGCCACTTCCACAAAGCTCAACTTCTTCACCAGTGACTCATGACTCAACATGAATACAAGTCTAAGTGAATATTTATGGGATTTTCTCCTCTGTAATTATTTCTGTTATTTGTGCCACTTAAACAAGCAATCAAATCAAAAACTATTTCTGAGCTACAAGAACTATAACCACAAAACCACTACACAAGTCCAGTCTGGCTATGCCTAAGCCTTGCAGGTCACACACATATTGTTTAAAAGCTAAGCATCTATTAAATATTATTAAACTCTGGAAATTAAGAAGAGGCTTTCTTACTGCAAACATACTTTCAAGATGTTCAAATATAAATTAGGGAAAAAAGCTCAACTTACTCAAGCCTTCAAAGTTTTCCTCTGCCACTCCATCTCCATTATCTGAAACCTCTATCAGTTCTGCTCCATGATCTTTAAGTTTTATATCTACAAAACAGAGTAATAAAGTGTTTTAATTCTGTGTGTTCGTACATGGCATTTAGCACCAATTTTGTGCTTGAAGTAAATGTATCATGCAACAGTTTTTCATATCAAGTTTGAACAACCAAAAAATTCTCATAGCTGTCATAAGTTAGGGCAACCAAATGCAAACCTGTGCCTGCAGGTAGCTCAGCTTCACTGCACTTCTGCCCGAAGAGAAGTTTTCCCAATTTTAAGAGCCACAATCCTGGCAGCTCTGGGAACTGCAGCCCTGCCCTAACCCTGGGCTAGCCTCAGGCTGCAGCTGGCAGAGCCTGATGGCCACTGCTCACCTGCACAGGCCACATACCTTATTTAGTGGCCCAAAAGGGCTACAAATCACAAACTCACATGCTTCTAGCAATGAATGCACCCGGTACCTGCGAATCAGAACGTTTTATTAGTCTGAGGTGTAAAATGACTGCAAACACACTTGCCCAGATTTTTTCCTATACACTGTGAGTCAAGGGTGCTTTAGGAGCCCGTGAGAAGCTATGAAATTCGACGAATTACCGATGTTGGTCGCTCCAGCGTCCAGGCTGTTCTCCACCAGCTCCTTCACGGCAGTGCTGAGGCTCAGCACGACCTGTCCCGAGCAGATGCGATGAACCGACTTGCGGTCGATGGGCCTGATGGCTCGGGCGGGCTGCAGGCTTGGGAGAGAGGGGCGGAACACACGGCAGTGAGAGGGCGAAGGCAGGAGGGGAAACCTCACACCGCTCGCCCGTTCCTCAAGCGAAGGCAACACGGAGCTCAAACCCCCATACCCGCGGGGCCGCGTCCGAACGGGGATACCCGCAGGGCGC